AATTGAATGTGAAACGGCCCGCTAACTTCGCTAAATTGACGATACATCGATGGAAGTTTTGGCGATGTTTTAAACATCGACTTTAAGGAGACTCTCCGACTTTCTTTCGGTTTGTTTGACTGACCTTAAATTTATTATTCCTTCAGAATTTTTTTGTTATTTATGGCCTTATAGCAATTATATTATTCAGCCGTTTTTATGAACAATGTTATTGAAAATCAACAAAATTTACAAAAGGTAGAAGTTATAGCTGCTATTTCGGAGATTACCACTTCTCCTCAGTGACCGGGGTTGTGATTACTAGATGTGGTCTCCCAAATAGCAGCTATAACTTCTTACCTTTGTAAATTATTGTTGCTTTTCCACAACATTTTTCATAAAAAACGGCCCCAAGCTCAATAAAATTGTTTGATTCATTTTGAATGCTAATAACCTAGCCGTTAAAACAGAACCAAACACCCCTTAGAATTTGAACAAGATCAGGCCTAGGATGTTTAGGCCCGAACGAACTTACGATGGTATGCATTTTGATTCTAATAATAGAAAGGGTATAGAACAGATAATAAAATACAGGAAAATACATTCATAATTGTTAAAGTATTCAATATTACTTTAAATTTAACTAGAAATTAACAAATTGCAAAACATCGGAAACCATCGATATATCGATGTTTCTCTGGCGATGTATTTTTGCCTCGATGTTGGGTTCTTTCCCGTACGCAACGCGGGATCCCCCGCGGGTGCCCAAAATAGCCCAGAAATCATTCCTGTACTCAACAAAATGGATAATAGAGAGCGAAAATTGGAACTTATTGGATCGTAAGTGTCTTCTTCTTCCTGCCCAAAACAGGCCGGACTTTTTCTCCGGGTAAAAATGGATCAAGTGTCAAAGTGCATATCAGCTGTTTTGTGTTTACATGTTTCTAGTGATGTGCTGAGTCAATACTTTTAAGTATTGACCGATATTCGGTACCGATTTAAAAAGTATCCAATACTCTCGATNTCGACTTTAAGGAGACTCTCCGACTTTCTTTCGGTGTGTTTGACTGACCTTAAATTTATTATTCCTTCAGAATTTTTTTGTTATTTATGGCCTTATAGCAATTATATTATTCAGCCGTTTTTATGAACAATGTTATTGAAAATCAACAAAATTTACAAAAGGTAGAAGTTATAGCTGCTATTTCGGAGATTACCACTTCTCCTCAGTGACCGGGGTTGTGATTACTAGATGTGGTCTCCCAAATAGCAGCTATAACTTCTTACCTTTGTAAATTATTGTTGCTTTTCCACAACATTTTTCATAAAAAACGGCCCCAAGCTCAATAAAATTGTTTGATTCATTTTGAATGCTAATAACCTAGCCGTTAAAACAGAACCAAACACCCCTTAGAATTTGAACAAGATCAGGCCTAGGATGTTTAGGCCCGAACGAACTTACGATGGTATGCATTTTGATTCTAATAATAGAAAGGGTATAGAACAGATAATAAAATACAGGAAAATACATTCATAATTGTTAAAGTATTCAATATTACTTTAAATTTAACTAGAAATTAACAAATTGCAAAACATCGGAAACCATCGATATATCGATGTTTCTCTGGCGATGTATTTTTGCCTCGATGTTGGGTTCTTTCCCGTACGCAACGCGGGATCCCCCGCGGGTGCCCAAAATAGCCCAGAAATCATTCCTGTACTCAACAAAATGGATAATAGAGAGCGAAAATTGGAACTTATTGGATCGTAAGTGTCTTCTTCTTCCTGCCCAAAACAGGCCGGACTTTTTCTCCGGGTAAAAATGGATCAAGTGTCAAAGTGCATATCAGCTGTTTTGTGTTTACATGTTTCTAGTGATGTGCTGAGTCAATACTTTTAAGTATTGACCGATATTCGGTACCGATTTAAAAAGTATCCAATACTCTCGATACTCGGTACCGAAACACTTAGGTTTCGAATAAAAGCGCAAATAGGCCAAAAATATGGAAAAAACGTTTCAGGGGAGACTCGCCTATAAAAATCCGAATGTAGGAGCCAATAGAGCTTTTAATACGGATTCAAATAAAAGATGTATATATGTCAGTTCGAGGCCATAATGCAGAGACACTCTTACTTGTTTGAAGCATTTTTGTTCCAGCTGAATCGGACGATATCATTTTCGTAGGCCTGGGAGCAGATTCTGTCACCAGTTAGCGACAATTTTCGAATCGGCATCGGTTTTGTTGACGTTTGATATGAAATATTTTTACGTCAACAAGTGCGATATCGATCCGAAACTTGTCGCTAACTGGTTACAGAATCTCCCTCCTGAAAGGCTTCTTCATCCGTAAAAGCATTTTTCTTGAACCTTGGATCAACTAAGATTAAAACTGTTAAAATAATATTTCTCTGTTGCGATAAGTTCAAGTGTTTTAGCCGATATCATATAAATTAGTAATTAAAGTTTTTTCTAAACTTGAAATGCATATAATGGGGAAAGTTTAATGTAAAGAATCGGTATCGGGTACCGAAAACTTTTTTAAGTACTGGGTACCGAAAATTCAGCACATCACTAGCTGTCTCATAAATTCTGGGCCCGAAATGTGGTTTTTTGCGTTCCCGTGCTTCTGGATTATGTTCCATTTTTGAGAGCAAACTTTTCGCTTATTCTTTAATTACCGGATCCGGTCCGGATTGTTAGGTAAAGAACCTGTTCTTTTCTCCGATGCATCGGAACATCGATGTATAGATGTTACTGCTCAAAATTTGCATCCCTATTCACGGATGGTTCAATTAATAGAGCGTTCCAGCACGTCTACGATTTGCAGGTTTTGCAGGATTAACCCTGGCATTCAGTAAGCGGTCTCTAGTTACTAACAGTGACTTTTGGTGGTGAACTAGGATTTCGAGACTATTTGGTATTCAGTACGCTGTCTCACGTCTCTAGTCTCAAAAATAAGTCACTGGCTAAGAGCCGGTCACAAAAATTTAAATATGGAGGAAAAGCTTATATCTTTCCATTTTATTAAAAAAAAAACGCGAAAATTAAGCGAGGAAATTTGTTCAACAAGAATTTCATTAGGAAATAAACCAAAATGCTTTAACATCATACAAAAATATTGAAAAAAAATTTATTTTTTTGTTTTTAAAACTTTAAACTCTAAAGATTGTTATAAAAAAATATAACTAATAAAAAAATACTAAATAAAAAATCCTTTACGGCCGAGGAGGACTTGAACCGGGACCCTCTCGGCTGCCAGCCTAATGCTTTGACCACTCGGCCTGTAGAGGCAAATGGGCAACGACAAAAACAAAAAACTTAGACAACATGTAAAATTATAGACTTTGATTGTATGTATTTAATGTTTAATCAATTTAGTCAAAACAATCGAACAATATAAAATAAATGCGAGGACTTTTTATCTGAGTTATAATATGCGGTGTTTATATGTAATTTCCAAATATTGCTAGCTAAACGCTAACGTTTCCAAATTGTATTTTGCTGGTGATTGTCGGCTGCTGCTCCCGCTGACGATTATTTTGCCTCTGATCGTTGGTAAAAATGTATATGCAGATGATAGCGAAATAGGTAAATTATGTATGTTATGTATGCATGTATTAGTAAATGCAAGAACTCGCTACTAATATATGTATGAGCCAATCACAATGTAGAAATGGTAAGTGTAGAAATGGAACATAAGGCACAGTGTGCCTCTACACCCCGCCCCGCCGTGAATCACCTAGGGATTCACCAACCAAATGGAGGACTGCAATCTTCGAAACTGGGCGGCGTAGTACCCCTCCAGCGGTTTTAACTTCGGCGAAACGGATCTGACCATCTTTGGCGGGAAATACTCGAGTAACTCGACCTTTGCCACTGGCTACGTGGCTGCATGGTGTCACATATTAACACCAAGTCATTCACTTTTAGGGGCTCAACTTCTTCCTGCCATTTTTGACGCAAGAGCAATTGTGGTAAATAATGCCGTATCCACTGTTTCCAAAATCTGTCTTTTAGGCTTTGAGCTATGCGCCATGGTTTTCTTAGGCATAATTTTCCATCTACTGGTTGCGGAGTTTGCGTCGAATTTGAGCACCCCAACAGAAAATGATTCGGGGTCATCGGATCGTCTTCTTCCGATGACAATGGTACTTCTGTTAGCGGTCTCGAATTCAAAATGTTCTCGATCTCTATAAGCTACGTAGCGTATCTTCCCTTGGCACTTCTTCACGTATGATTTTGGTCAAAAGTCGTTTCACTATGTGAATTAGTCGCTCCCAACAGCCTCCAGAACTTGGATTAGAGGGACAATTGAACTTCCAGTCTATACCGCGTTTGGATACATCATTCAAAATACGTTCGAAATCTAAAATACGTTCTGACGCTTTCAGCTCCCTCTGGGCGCCTATGAAATTTGTACCATTATCGCTTCGGATACGTACCGGAGTTCCACGGCGGTTTACGAAATTGCGTAAGCATATTAGGAAATCATCTGTTGACAAGTCGTGCGCAAGTTCCAGATGAGCCGCCCTTATGGTGAGGCACGTGAATATGACTGCCCATCGCTTCTCTCTTCGGCGCCCTATCGCTACGTTGAACGGGCCGAATAGATCCACCCCTGTATACGCAAAGGGCCTGACGTATGGTGTAATTCGGTCTTCAGGCAACTGACCCATTAATGGTGGTTTAGGTGTGGCTCTGTCAATTCTGCATTGTGCACAACTTCGTTGTACGACTTTCAATAGGGATTTAGCGTGTGGAAACCAATATTTCTGACGAACCTCACTTAAAATTACTGCAACGTTCTGGTGGTGATACTGTTGGTGGTACTGGCGCATAATAAGCTGTGAGACGATGTGTTTCGACGGCATCAAAATCGGTCTCCTAGCTTCTTTCGGCAGACATGTAGCCTCGTCTATGCGCCCACGCAACCTCATAACACCTTCATTGTCTATGTACGGCGATAATGCACGAATAGTACTATGTTTAGGAATGTGTTTCGAGTTCGGAGACGGTCAGTGCTGAGGCGTTGTTGTTTTCGTGCCCACGACGTAGAAACTTGTTTACGGCTTGATAAACCATTGCCATCACCCGTCTCAACTTGAAGAAAGAAGAAAATCGATTAAACTGTAATAATGAATCTTTTACCTCCGCATGTGCAACAAGACACGGCTGCACTTCCTCCTCAAGCTGAACTGCCTTGGGGCTGCAAAGCGTAGGTGGCCAATGCTCGGCTGGATCCCGCAGGAAATCCGGACCTCTTAACCATGGGCTGTATTTCTCGGCTTTAGGTGGTCATTTTGGACGAGTAGCGATGTCGGTCGTGTTTTGATCTGTAGGTACCCAGCGCCATTGAGAAGGATTCGACGATGACAAAATTTATATTATACGATGACCAACGTATGGCTTAAACTTTCTCTCTCTTGAATTCACCCATTGTAACAGCGTTTGCGAATCTGTCCAGAACGTGACTTCTTCTGGTTGAATACTATGACCTTGATTAATGACTTTGGCAAGTCGAACACCCAGTACACCAGCTTGCAATTCCAGTCTGGGCACCGAGACGAGCTTCTGAGGTGCACACCTGGTTTTACCGGCAATAAAGGCAACGTCGACATTTTGTGCGCTAGCAATACGAAAATACCCAGCTGCGGCAAATGCAACTTGACTGGCGTCTACAATTATGTGAAGCTGAACAGATGTTGGCGACTGCAGTAGTGGTGAGTAGTAGCGGTTCACCTTGACCTCGTTGATACGTTTAAATTCACCCCACCAAGCAAACCATTTATGTTGAAGTTGGTATGGCAATATTTCGTCCCATTCGATGCAACTCTTCCACACCTCTTGAATCAGTATCTTGCCGAATAACAGGAAATCGGCAAGAATACCGAACGGATCAAAAACTGACATTACGATGCTCAAAAGATCGCGTTTCGTAGGTACGCGTACACCTTCTAGTACTGGCTTTGGAATGCGATGAAATTTGAACTTGAACTCAAACGAATCAGTCGGGGTATTCCAATACATTCCCAACACCTTTTCGCAATTACTTTGGCATTCTAAATTTACTTGTTGGGATACGGCTTCGGCGTCGGTATTCAAGCTGATTTCAAGTTCTTTGATATTGGATACGAAAGATCGAAGCTGAAAACCTCCTTCGGCGTGGACGAATTTAACCTCTTTGCAAACGCGCTCTGCCTCTCCGCTGCTCTGAAAGCTGGCTACGAAGTCGTCTACATAATGGCTGTCAATAATTGCTGCAGCTGCGTCGGGATATTGTGAGCGGAAGTCCTCGGCGTTTTTGTTCTTGACATACTCTGCAATGCAGGGAGAGCAAACCGCACCAAAGACCATTGACATCATAACGTAGTGCTGGACTGGCTGATGGGAGTCGCCATCACGCCATAAAAATCTCTGAGCATATTGATCTGGCTGCTTTACTACCACCTGCGAAAACATTTCGCGTATGTCGGCAGCCACAGCTACTGCTCCTTCGCGAAACCTGAATAGTATGTCTAGTAACGGCTTGGCTTGTTCTGGACCCTTTAGTAGTTCACAATTGAGAGATACTCCATTCACCTTCGCAGCTGCATCAAACACAATCCTCATCTTGCCAGGTTTGTGGGGGCTCTGAACTGCAAAATGAGGCAAATACCAATTAAAATATGAATGCATACCCACTTCGTCCGCGGAAAGTTGACAGGCGTAACCATTTCGTATATATTTGGCAATTTCATCTTTGTAGTTGGCGGAAAAACTTTCATCTAGGCGCATTCTCTTCTCAATACCCAACAGTCGTTTGTAAGCCATAGCAAAGCTGTTCGGAAGTGCTGGTGGAACACTTTTCCACAGCAGACCGGTTTCAAAGCGCTTACCGATGCGACGTGTGTTGGCTTCCAGCCTTTGACGGGCGTGTTGATTGTCTTCTGACTCTAGTTGCTTCGTTGACTCATTGTTGACACCAAAGTTATCAGCGGCGAAATATTCTGTAACTAGTTCGTGTAGCGATTCCAAGTTGTTCTTTTCTCGAATATGTAGTACCACAGGCGTTGTAATTGGCGATCGGGTTGAACCGTAGGCTATCCAACCCACCTTTTGTATTAATGGCTACTGGGTTTCCGCTGCCAGCTTGTACTGTTGTAGACGGCACGCTTAAATACGTATTGTCTAAACCTAACAGCAACGATGGTTTGACTTGATGATAATCCTCTAATGGCAGGAAGGACTGTTCTGGTAAATCGAGGTTACGAATGGTGCAAATATTTCGTAGCGTGTACGTCGCTGTTGTACATTTGCCCTGTATTGCTTACGTCCTTTGAGACGCAATCTTGTGGCTACGCTATCTTCTAGTAGTGATATAGCTGATCCTTCATCAACCATGGCATAAACGTCTTCTTTACCGTTCGGTCCGAATAGCGATACTGGCACATATTTAAAAAACTGGCTATTTCGATGTTTGGCTTCTCTGCAATTAAGTACAGGCTGAGTTGCAGCGCGACTTTGTGCTGCGGACGCCGCAAAACTTGAACTCGAGGCTTCATGTAAACTTCGATGATGATAGCGGCGGCAGGCGTTAACGTCACAAAACTTTTTTGAACGGCAGTTAGATGTGTTGTGTCCTTTACACAGACACGAGAAACAAAGCTGCAGGGATTTCACCTTTTCCCAACGATCACGAACACTCATTGACTCATTGAAAGTTTGACAATCACTAATCGAGTGTGCCCCATCGCACACATAACACTTAAAACTGACTGCGTGATCCTGTTGACGCTCACTGCCGACTACCATTACACGACGAGATGGCTGTTGATGTGGCGTTGGCTGCTGGCTTCTCACAACTGCGGTTGACGGTGGCATTAGGCAGACAACTAGGGCAAGGTCACTTAACCATTGTGAAAATTCTTTAATTGTAGCGTACGGCTTTATATTCACTGCATGCCTGGTCCACTCATACTGCTTGCTGGGTGGTAGCTTGGTTACGAGTTGCTCTAAAAGTGTAGTATTATTTAGGTGGTGCTCACATTTTGCTGAAGTTAGAACGCAACAATATTTCGTGTTTTTGTTGAAAATGATAAAATTTGTTCAACCTTGTTTTCAGCTATGTTCGGAAACCGGTGAATTTTGCTTAGCTGACTTCTTACCAAGAGGTCTGGCCGACCAAATTGAAACTCAAGCTCCGCGATGGCATTTGGCACGTCTTCGGGGTATATCAGCATCGAAGCTACCGTTTCTTTCGCACCTGGGCCGCCACCAGGCACTTGTGAAGCCGCATTAAATTCTGCCGGTTGCTATAGCGAAACGCTTCGGGCGTGTCTTTAAAATTAGCCAAGAAGAGCGGCCACTCTTCTGTATTACCCGAAAACGTAGGCAAGTCGTATAGTTTCTTAACTGACTCACTAGCTTCCACCAATTTATTTTGGGCGGACCGTTCTGGCCTAATTTCGGACGTAGTTTCACTTGCCTGTTGTGTTGCTGCCGCTGGATGTACATCTAGTTCAATTTTATTTCGCAGCCTCCCTATATCACGTTGACTCTCCTCTGTAACCGTCTTCAATTGCGCAACAGCATTCGTTAAAGCGTTAAGGCTGGCTACAATCGCTGAAAATTGTCCACCTTGTGCACCATCATTAACTCCACCATCGCCCTCCATTTGTTCACCTTGCGATCTGTCTTGATGTCTTAAATTGTAATTGCTACCCGGCATAATATTCGCTCACCAAATCGTACCACCAAACGTGTAAATTCAGCGAACCTTAAAAAGTCGAACTTTTATTAAGCCCCACTCTCGCAAGCATAAACCAAAAACATTCGATTTCATGCAACTGTACAACCTTACCGATACAGCCAGCCACTTTACCCAAACATTTGGGGTGTTCACAGTTCGTTCCAAATAGTGTCTCAAAATGTAGACGTCTACATTTTAAGACGTTTTCTAACCGTAAAATCTGTGGTGTTGTTGTTTCCCATACAAAATTGGAAAACGACGCCGTCTACATTTTGTCACACTCAAAGGTATGTTTTTTACGCGTCTACATTTTGCAACCTCGCAGCAGGGCTGCATTATGGCAATACTAATCACATTTTTTTTATTTATTGGGCACGTTTTCTGTATTTGCATTTAATTTTCGCGCAATTTCTGATGAAAAGAAACAAATCAAGGAAAAGAAATAACAAATATTACGAATTGGTAATTAAGTTAAATAACTACAATTTTTCAGAAACAAAATCGAAAGGCGACATATAAAAAATGCATGCAAGGAAGAAATGTCTGCCAACACCAGCAAAGTCTACATTTTCTGACACAATTTGGAACGAACTGTGAACACCCCAATTATTTGCAATCGCCATGAAAAAAACCGCTTTGCAAAAAAACTCTAGCTTTTATTAGAACAACCGTTTTGCGAAAATTAACTGCTATGATGACGAACCGCTTTACAACAACTCCAACTGTTATAACGATGAACCGCTTTACAATAACTCCAACTGATCTGACGATGAATTGATGAAAAAAACTCCAACTCGTATGACTCTGTTTTACAGCTAGCCGACATCACTTTATTTGAAGAACAGCAAAATTTGGAAAGGTAATGTAGAGGCAAATGGGCGACGACAAAAACAAAAAGCTTAGACAACATGTAAAATTATAGACTTTGATTGTATGTATTTAATGTTTAATCAATTTAGTCAAAACAATCGAACACTATAAAATAAACGCGAGGACTTTTTGTCTGAGTTATAATATGCGGTGTTTATATGTAATTTCCAAATATTGCTAGCTAAACTCTAACGTTTCCAAATTGTATTTTGCTGCTGATTGTCGGCTGCTGCTCCCTCTGACGATTATTTTGCATCTGATCGTTGGTAAAAATGTATATGCAGATGATAGCGAAATAGGTAAATTATGTATGTTATGTATGCATGTATGAGCCAATCACAATTACAAATGGTAAGTGTAGAAATGGAACATAAGGCACAGGGTGCCTCTACACGGCCATTGCGGCATACATAAACACTATCAGTTGATTGTCTGTGTTTGCTTTCACCACAAATTTTTGGTGAACTTTTTGTGACTCTCTCCTTCGGAATACCCAAATCGTCTCAAGTCACAAAAATAGTCACTAATTGCTAATCTCAAATTTAGTGACTTGAGATGAGACTGAATTACTGTATCCCAGAGTAAGTCCAAAGTCGTTCCCGTACGCCAAAAATTCGGTATCTGGGAACACTCTCGTGAGAATAACTGAGCAACTGTTCCCAGAATGAAGTTTCAAGATTTAGTCCGGAGTTTTTCTTCTGGAAAATTCATGAAAAGTATCAAACGATAGGTAGAGTGCAATGGGGTATAGTCGTTGCGCTGGGTATGCAGTTACAGTTGCATGGCTATACTCAATCCCGACTCTTGCGTCCTCGTTCGCGCACTCTGGGCAACGTGAGCAACCCATGTGCGAGATGCGGTAACCAATCCGAGTGGAGCCTTGGGTCACGGCAGAAAGAGAGGGAGCTTCGGTGGG